TGAGGCTGAGGCTGAGGCTGAGGCTGATGCAGGCTGAGGCTGAGGCAGGCTGAGGCTGAGGCTGAGGCAGGCTCAGGCTGAGGCTGAGGCCGAGGCAGGCTGAGGCTGAGGCTGAGGCTGAGGCTGAGGCAGGCTGAGGCTGAGGCTGAAGCTGAGGCAGGCTGAGGCTGAGGCTGTCGCTGAGGCTGAGGCAAGCTGCGGCTGAGGCAGGCTGAGGCTGAGGCTGAGGCAGGCTGAGGCTGAGGCAGGCTGAGGCTGAGGCAGGCTGAGGCTGAGGCTGAGGCCGAGGCAGGCTGAGGCTGAAGCCGAGGCAAGCCGAGGCAGGCTGAGGCTGAGGCTGAGGCTGAGGCTGAGGCCGAGGCAGGCTGAGGCTGAGACAGGCTGAGGCTGAGGCTGAGGCAGGCTGAGGCTGAGGCAGGCTGAGGCTGAGGCCGAGGCAGGCTCAGGAGGCTGAGGCAGCCTGAGGCTGAGGCAGGCTGAGACTGAGGCTGAGGCAGGCTGAGGCTGAGGCTGAGGCTGAGGCAGGCTGAGGCTAAAGATTCCTAAGGATGCCTAAGGATGCCTTAGGAATCCCTAGGAATCCTTAGGATTCCATTGGATCCTAAGGCCGTTGCCACTGCGACTGTCATTGTGAATGCGACTGCGACTGCGAGAACAGCAGAATTCTACAACTGGATTCTCACCTGAATCTTAAGGGGAATGCTTCCAGACATGCTTATACATATCGCTGTTAGGTTGCTTTGCCGGGATAATTACAAGGGAACCTCAGGGGGGGATACCGGCCCCCCTGGGATAGTGTAAATCCATAGTTCGGACGGACATGTGGTCAGAACCATATGTGATTTACATGTCCGAAAGGTGAAGCGATAACGCCGGGGGGGGGGTAGATCCTATTCTGTTTTTAGAGAGGAGAACCTAGCTTGTGCAACAGACTACCCTGCACCGCGCTTGACCACTCCACTGCTCGCGCAAACATCCTACCCACCCACCCGCAACTTGATTTGCAAAATCTCTCAAGACCGTGACGGTGGGTACCACATGGCACTTGGCAACGACAGCGACGCCGACGACGACAGCGACAACGACGACGACGACGCCGCCGACAACGACTACGACGACACCGACGACGTCTCCAGCGACTTCGACGACGCCGACAACGACGACGACGACGACACCGACGACGACGACGCCGACAACGACTACGACGACGACGACGATGACAACGCCGACGACGATGACGACGACGACGACGACAACGACGACCGACGACGACGACGACGACGTCAACGACGCCGACGACGACGACGACGACGGCGGCGACGACGACGACGCCGACGTCGACGACGACGACGACGACGACGACGACGCCGACGCCGACGACGACGACGAAGACGACGACGACGTCGCCAACGAAGACGACGACGAGGGAGGAGAGAGGACGACGACGGCGACAGCGACGACAACGACGACAACGACGAGGGAGGAGGGAGGACGGCGACGACGCGAACGACGAAGAAGGAGGAAGGACGGCGACGCCGACGACGACAACGACGAGGGAGGAGGGAGGACGACGACAACGACGACGACGACGACGACGACGACGACGGCGACGAAATAGGAGGGACGACGACGAGACGCCGACGACGGACGACGACGACGACGACGAGGGAGGAGGAGGAGGGAGGACGACCACGGTGACAACGACGACGGAAACGACCACGACACCAAAGATGACGACGACGACGAACACGAGGAAAGACAGAGGACGACGTAGGCGACGACGACGACGACGCGGGAGGAGGGAGGACGGCGACGACGACGACGACGACGCAAGAGCGCGCGCGCACGCTTTTGTTGAACATCCGTGTTGCGAAACCATGTGTTTTTGCATGTTTTTCGGACACACGATGTTGACATCCTTTCGAAACTGATGGGTTTTGAAGGATTTTGGCGTACGCGCGCGACGACGCGCGCGTCTGCATTTCGTCTTTTTTTTGCAGAGGGTTCTCGCGACGGCACACGCGCAAGGGCGTTCGACAGATTTCGACATGCGCGCCCGCGAATCCCGCTTGGTAGCATGTTGTGGAAGTTTTGAAACACCTATGGTTTTCTTAAGATTTCACAATAGCAGGCGCGCAAGCTTTTTTAGCAAATCAGTGTTGCGAAACTCTTTGTTTTAGTATATTTCTTTGGAAACTCGATAGCGAAATTTTTCCGACACCGATTTTTTTTGAGCATTTCGGCATGCGCGCGCGACGGCGCGCGCGTGTGCACTTCGTCCCTTTTTTGCAAGGGATTCGCGAACAAGTGCTATGTTAGAAGAAAAGATGTCCCCGCGTATCGTTTTTTTTTTTTTTTTTTTTTTTTTTTTTTTTTTTTTTTTTTTTTTTTTTTTTTTTTTTTTTTTTTTTATATATATATATATATATATATATATATATTATTATTTTTTAGGGGGGTCGATACCGCCCCCCCTGGGATAGTGTAAGTTCATATTTCGGATGGGCATGTGGTCAGAATCATATATGGTTTACACAGCCGAATATATATATATTATATATATATATATATATATATATAAGGAGGCATTCTATGCGGTGCCGCTCACCCTGCCGAACTCGAAGTTGTCAAATCCATTGCTCGCGCAAACACCCCACCCGCCCACCCGCAACCTTGTTTGCAAAACCCATGCGACGGCGATTGCGATGAGTGTTTTGCGTTGGCCGGTGCATCTTTGTTGCCGCGCTAGCCCGCGCAGGCTCGCACGCGCAGCGTCCACTTAGTTTGGCGCGATCGCCGCGGCTGCGGTGGCGCTGACCGCTGGGCATTTCCCAGCGGGCACTTCAGTGCGATTCGGTGATTTGGGCAGGTTTGGTATCATGGGGACGCCGACAACGGTAGACGCGATTGTGCAAGTAGCGATGAAGGTGACGAGCAGTGGTGACAACGGCAAGGCCACTGGCGGCGCCGAGGTTGATCACGCCCGCCGTTAACGATGACGATGTCCTCGTGTCGGCGATGCAGGTTTTTGAAGGAGTTCGATATGCGCGCGCGTCTGACGCGCGCGAGCGGCCCGCGTGGTATTACTTGACACGATCTTCCGCCCCCCGCACGTGCGCAAGAGCGTTATCATGACTTCGACATGCGGCGCGGGAGCTCCGTTGGTAGCACGTGATGAGCATGTTGGGAAACTTATGATTCTTAAAGAACGCGCAAGAGCGCGAGCGTTTTCTTGTTCGTCTTTTATAACTGTGTCTTCGGAACAATCGTTTTTGACGTCTTCGCGGAACTTCTTAAGATTTTTGAAGGGTTCCGGCATGCGCGCGCGACGGCGTGCGCGTGTCCCCGCCGTCCCACATTTTGCAAGGGATTCTTGCGACAACACTCGCGCAAGGGCGTTCGAACGATTTTGACATGCGCGCGCGAGAGGCCCGTTAGGTAGCATTTTATGAACATCGAAAACACAAAACACTGGTTGTCATAAAACTTCGCAAGAGCACGGGCGCAGTGTTTTTGATGCAAGCCCTTGTTGCGAAACTTTTAAATCTGTTTTCGGAGCGTTCAATTTCGATTTTGAAATCGTTACGAAGCCCTGATGTTTTGAGAGATTCTGGCGTGCGCGTGCGACGACGCACGCGTGTGCAGTTTGTCTCTTTGTCTCTCCTCATTTTGCGAGGGATGTTTGACAACTGGTGATTTTTGATCAACGACTGTGCGCGCATAGTATTTTTGCAGTGGGTGATGGGGGGGAACCGATACCGGCCTGCTTGGGATGGTATGAGTTCATTGTTCGGATGGACAAGGGGGCAGAGTCACATGTAAATTGCAATACGAAGAAGGTGTATTTCTAACCCCCAGGGGGGAGTATGTCCTGATATTTCCTAGAAAGGAGAGTTTATGCAGTGCAGTCTGTGTTGTGCAGTCTGTGTGGTGTAGAATCTGTTGTGCAACCGACGTCGTGGAATCTGCCTGCGTTGTGCAGTCTAGGCGGCGACGGGGCGGCGACGGCGACCACATGGCCGCCACACCGACGGGCAGACCCAGAAAACGGGCGGCGACTGAGCAGCGACTGCGACCACGTAGCCGCCAGACCGACGGGCAGGCCCAAGAGACGGGCGGCGACGAGGCGGCGACGGGGCGGCGACGGCGACCACATAGCCGCGATACCAGCGGGCAGGCGCAGTGCCTTAGAAACGAAGTGAGAAACCGTGAGTGGAAACCCCCTGTTAGGGGAACCGCATTTCTTGTTATCATGCTTACCACCGCTATGATGAGAACACGATTACCATTGTCATCTTGCTTATCAGTCTAGTCAGTATTCTCATTCCCAGTCTCATTTTTGTTGCAGCTGCAGTAAGTCCTCGCCCCATTTGGTTATGTGATGGCGGCGGTTTGGTTGCTGGTCGGAGTTACGCCCGCCGTGTAAGTGGAGAGTACAGTAGGGGTCTTGAAGAAGGAACCCTTTTCGTTGGGGAGGGGCTCCGTGTTCCTTGATTGTTTCACAGCTTGCCTGAGGTTTTCCCAAGGTTTTCGATGGGGAATCGAAGTTTAACTTATGGGAAAGGAGGGGCCTCGTTTCTTATTTAGGGTTCCTTAGGTCAACGCCCCGACTGTAGCAAGGTCGTTCCAACGAACTGTTGTTTATGTGATTTACGCCTGACCTTCGCACAATCATATTGTATGGCCGGTCCCGTCCTTATCTGAAACAGTGTTGTGGGACGGGTCGTTCCCTATCGGTTGGGACCCGATCGGTCGGATCTTATCATCTGATTACAAACAGAGGAACCATGCTGAGGCCCTCTCGTCGCGCACCGCATCGCACTGCAGAACACTTCTGCAGACCATGCCATTTCTGATAGAACGGGTGAGGCCCCCTTCGGTACAATCACCTTTTTGGGCGCATGCGCAGATACACGCGCACATGGGTACATTTGTTGAGTGTGGTTCTCACTGCATTTTCAATGAACATTTCCTTGTCGAATCAATCCCCCCCCTCCGAGGCACAACAATTGGAGCCTGCGGCGTCTCCGGTTCCGCGTCAGCTGCAGCCTCAACAGCCAGAGCAGCAGCCGCTGGAGAGCCAGAGCAGCAGCCGGGACGTGCCGTTGTCGCCCGAGGCGCTGGAGTCGCGTGAGCGCAGGAGTGCGGGCCTGTCTCAGGCGATCGAAGCGCGGACTTTCTGGATTTGTGCCGACGTGTGTCCCCGTACTCGAGGCTGGGAGATCGACGCCTGCGCACCCTAGCCGCACCAAAGCGCTGGCTTGATCCAGATCCTGAGCTTCATTGATTGGCTGGCCGTGCGCCCGTTGTTCTTGATGTCTTGTCGGGAGTAGGCTGGGTCTGTGGACCTCTCAGAGGTCGCCGCTCATCTTGCAGGCACGGTCGAGCCGCGCTCCACGTGTGAGATGTTCAGGAGACTTCCTGGGGCGCATTCTGAGCCGACCCTCCTCGTTTCCTTCTTCTTCTTCTGAACCCTCCTCCCTCGCCTCCTCGTCCTCCTCCTCAGGGTGCAACAGTTGCGTTGATTCGTTGTGTTGAAGTCCCAAAAGTTGTCTTCTTGCGCGATCCAGGATCGTCAAGACGCAAGAGTAACGGTGCTTCGCGGCGTTGAAGTCCCAGGAATGGTGTTCTGGCGCAGTTCAGGATTTTCAGACGGTTGTCGTCCAACGGGGCACTTCCCTCAGTGAGCATGAACCCTTGCATGTGCCTGTGAAGAGGGAACTTGGAGGGAAGGTTTATCGCAATATCGTTGATGAGTCTGGGGTTTGCACTGGTCCACCTTCTCCTCCTCCACCCACCAGGGAGCCTGGAAGGGGCCCCTGGCTGGCCCTGGGCCAACTTACAAGAGGCAAGAGGCAAGAGGGAGGAGGAGGAGGAGGAGGAGGAGGAAGAGGAGGAGGAGGAGGAGGAGGAGGAGGAGGAGGAGGAGGAGGAGGAGGAGGAGGAGGAGGATGCAAGGCCTGATTGGCCCGGGTTTGCGCTGACCCAGGTTTGCGCTGACCTGGGTCAGTGCGTCCCCGACCATCTCTGCTCGTTCTGGCGGGGGCAGTCTGGGCCTCCCATGTGGGTTCGAAGAAGATGTCGGTACGATCGGAATGGGTACGGTCCGACCGAGGTGTATAAGATCGAAGTCGTTTCGGGGAGGGTGCCCTACGGTTCTTCGTGCTTGAAGGATGCTCTTGTGCATCCTGGGGAGGGTACCCTTGGATGTTCTGTGTGTTTAGGCTGGCGGAGGGTCTCATGTTGAATGCTTTTCTATCCTTGGTCCGGCTGTACGGACAGAATGGGTACGAAGACCGACAGCAGGTCTTGGTCATTTTGAGTAGGACTCGCTGTCGGTGTCGCGGACGCTGTTCATTTGAGACAGAAGGCCGCCTGCCAAACAGCGGCTGCTGTTGGTTTTGGACAGCACTTGTTGTTGGACATCGTACCAATTTTTCTTACGAATCTCGGGCGTCCAAAAGATGGCGTCGGATGATCGCGCCCTAAAGCCGATGCATCGGCGGTGCGGTGCGATGTGGAGTCCGATTTTCTCTACACCGACGTCGCCGATACATCGCCGACGTTGCTCGGCAATGCGGCGTGATTCCCCGACTCCATCTACTCGGACTCCATTTGGGAGGCCTCTAGGTTGTTTTCTTCATGACCTCAGAGGGGGTGGGTCGGGACTCCTGTGTCAGCTGCGGCTCGACGAGCACAGCTTCAAGACAGCGGCGCGTCTGCTCTGTCGGGAGCTCTGCAAGCCACGTCGAAGATCGACATCATGTCAGTGGATGCGTGTGTCGCCGCGCCGTTTGTTCCGACGCGCGGCCTTCCGTCTTGGGGAGGGTGCCTGGGCCACCAGGGCAAATGCCGCCTCGGACGCGGTGGGTTCGCCGTGAGGTTTGCCATGGTGCCGGCTTCGTCTACTTGGGCGCCATGTTTGAATCCGAGGTGATCATCCTCAAATTTGTAACTGTCATTTTTGGGGGGCTCCTCAGGCCTGAATGTAGAGGAAGTCTCGAGCGAAGTCTCGAGCGGGGGCCTCGTTTGTGAGTCAATCGCGAGGACGTTTCGAGCGGGAACCCCTCCCTATGGGGTCCCCACTTCCAATCTCGAATCCGAACGGGTCACCCGAATCCTGTAACAGTCGACACTTCTGGGCTCCTCAGGCTTGAGCCTGGAGGAACTCTCTGGTGGGGACATCGTCAGAAGGTAAATCGAGACGTAGTCTCGAGTGGGAACCCCTCCCAAGTGGGTCCCCACCTCCATGTTCGACAAGAGGGCTGCGAACGCCAGGGTGGAGGCAGAGCTCGCGGCAGAGCTAGGCTTCGCGCTGCCTCCCTCCTGAGCTCGGCGGCGACCAGCTCGAGACCCGCGGGGTTATCCCGACGGCTTGCTCTCGCGCCCCAGCAGCCTACGGGATCGGCCTGGCCCCGCGGGGTTACCCGATCCGGCCATCGTAGAACGTGCGCATGCCGGCCGTGGCGGCGAGGGTGCCGAGGAACATCGACATGCGTGCCCCGGCCAGAAAGAAGAAGGGATGCATGAGGATAACAAGTGGGATGGAGAGGGAAACGGAGGAGGAGGTGGAGGAGTAGGACGAGGAGGACGAGGCAGGAGGAGGATGCATGAGGATGAGGCAGTGGGAGACGGAAAAGCCAGGACGGGGTAGGAGGAGGGCGCGGACGGATGTCCCCAGCCAGGCTGAACATATTATCATGCGGGATCTTCTCGTCGGAGTAACTGCTGCTGATTAACGGAAGGTCTATTAGCAATTTGACTGAAGGCTCGCAGCAGCTGTGTAGCTGGCCAGGTCGCGTGGGATTTAGTTTGTCCAGCTTGACATCTATCTGCACAGCTGGCTGGTGTGACTAGAGCCGGGCTATCGGTCACATGTTGATTTGCCAGCTTGGGGCCGCATGTTTTCCCAGTTTGTCAACGGCCACCCATTACCGCTCAGGCCAAGATGTGATTGCTCATGGCGGGATTGTGCAGCTGGTGCGAACTTGAAATCGATTCCATGCCCGTCCCTTTGCGACCGTGTGGGTCGAGTAGGTGTTGTTGGGATGAGCCTATCTAGGTACGTGGGATACTAACTCTCAGGTATCCGTGTGTCCACAATTTGAACAGTTGCTGCTATGCGACACGTGACATAAAGTACTTAGCATACCTGCCGCTAGCCTCCATCATCTGGTTAAAGGCGTTCCCACAGAATTAGCACGGCGAGGGGGGAGGAAAGAGGAGGAATGAAGAGGAGGGGAGGTGAGGACGGAGCAGCGTAGGGAGGGGGAGGATGTGGAAATGGAGGATGGAAGCGGAGGAGGGTCAGGGAGGAGGAAAAGGAGGATTTGGTACGGCGATGGGGGTGCCGGAGTGTGAGCAGGATAGCATTGGGCGTCTACCTGCTCATCCTCGTCGCGTTTTTTTCCGTGCAGTTCGGGCATGGCACCAACATCGGAGTGGCCGTATCCCTTCCTGTAGAAGAGGGGACAAGCAAGGCGCCCGCTTTCTCTCCTTTCAATATATCTCTTGCGCCAGTCGAGGGAGCTTCTTCTTCGTTTTGGCCCCCATCTCAGACATCCGTGGTGTATTTATTTTCGACCGAGTTTCTCTCCGAACCGCGTGCTCGCTCATCGCATCAGCATTGACCATGAATTCGAGACTCCATGGTTAATCGATGCCCCGTGCATTTCTGCTCACGCCGTGCACGAGCACATCGAATGGCGTGTCTCGGGAACCACAGCACTTCGCCTATGATGGTATTGTTGAGCGAAGTTGTAACTGGTGTGTGTGTGTGTGTGTGCGTGTGTGTGTGTGTGTACTTTCTGGCGGCAAACGTGATTCAGGAAGCCCCGTCGCTCAACACCTAAGAGATTACACTGCGTCGCTCTACCAGCTGACATCGTAAGAGGTCCTACCAAATATTCTCGCCGTAACGATCGGGCTCGGCCCAAGGTAAGATGCTGGCTGGCCTGGGAACTTCCCGACTTCGAGTTGACTTCGGCAACGCGGAGCAACTTGTTCTTTTTCGCAGTGATTCGCGGGTGTGGCAGAACAGTCGACGAGGCATCATGCGGATGCCTGGTGGCGCATGCCTTTTCGCGCTGAAGACCATCAGGAAGCCGTGCATTCGAGGCGCAACCTCGACCGAGATGTGTAAGCCTGGCGAAGAATGAGGAAGACAATGAGGGTGGAGGATTAGGACGTAGAAGAGGAGCACAGCATCATGTTCTGGTCCCAGCCCGTCATGCACTGGAGCTTTTGTGGTAAGCAGGTTGAGTTTCTGGGACAATCGCTGGAGGAGCGGATCAGACGACATGATTCCGATGCAGATGGAGTTGGTCTTTGCTGCCGGCGTGGCGGCCAATACATTCGATTTCTGCTCCTCAGGTCTGCATGCGACAGTGTTGCGCGAAGTCGTCGGAAGAGCTTGCGCGTGGCGCTCGTGACTTTGACGCGTGGCTTTGATGGTGGTCCAGGGTTCAGGTCCTTGGACGCCTCGGCGATATCCTCGAGACCTCTGTCAGATCTCGAGCCTTTTGGTCTTGGGGGACACAAGCGCTAAGAGATCCCGATGAGTCGTGACGGTGCAGCGCTTTCCGCCCCGGTGTCTCGGTGCTAAGCGCGCAAGTTCTCGATCCATTCCCGTGGGTTTGTTCGGGGCGCAGGGCGTGCTCAGCCAGTGCGCTTGCTGGTCGAGCGCCATCAAGGGTCGGGGGGGGCCGAGTGGAGACCGCCAGTGGAGACCGCCAGGGAGGGATGGGGGAGCCACAGGAGGAATATGATGATGATGACGATGATGATACTGATGAGGATGATGATGATGATGATGATGATGATGATGATGATGATGATGCTGATGATGATGATGATGAGGATAATGATAATGATGGTGGTGATGATGGTGATGATGATGAGACTCTGATGATGGTGATAGTAGGGGTGGTGATGATGATAACGATGATGATGATGATGATGTTGTTGATGATGATGATGATGATGGATTTGATGATAATGG